CATTTTAAATTTAGATTAATAGCTTTAAAAACTAATTATTGTTGTGTATTGTGATTGTGATATGCCAAAACAAATAAAAGTCTGTAGTAAGCTGATAAGCTTCTTTCATATAAGATAGATTATTTTGAACAAGAAATAATGGCGGGAAGTTTTTGTTATTAAAGTTTAAAATTTAGAATATATAATTTTGTATTAAAATGTTTTCTTATGTATTTTAATTTGTTGCAGTAATCTTAAAACTAAGTGTATTTACTGTTAATATAATAGTTTGACAAATAGTTGACATTTTAAAAATTCCTCACTAACTATTCTGATGTTTTGGCAACACTGTGGGGTTCTGACGACCTAAATCTTGAATGACATGCAAGGTTTTTTATCTGAAAAATGCTATACACGGACTATTGTGAAGTAATAAAATAATAAAAGAAATTAAAGAAGAATTTATATAGAATAATTTATTTAGAAACATTGGAATTTAGGATCCGAGAAACGGCACCAGCTGTAGAAAACTTGCCTAAGTATTGCTAATAATACAAACTAATACAATCTAAGAAATCTTAAAGAAAAGTATAAACTGTGGGGTTTGAATATAAACGTACAAACACAGTAACTGAGAATAGTGGAAGAACAAGAAGAACCAGACCTACTATTAAGACATGTAAAAAAGTGAGATGAGCAGCAAATATTTAGGTAGCATAATAACAACTCAAGGAACATCAGAAAGACACACAGAATATAGAGTATAGCAAGGACCAAAATGTACAAGAATTCTCAATTCCACTTCTTTGGTCAAACTGCATCGCAATGAAAACAATTTTATCAATATATAGGGCAGTAGTAGAACCAATACTAACTTATGAAGCCGAATGTTGGTAAATAGCAGTTAATAACAAAAAAAAGTAGATCATATAGAAATATATTTTATTAGAAGAGCTTCCAGAATAGAAAATGTACTTGATAAATAAATTAGAAAATGCACAAACAGGATTCATTCAACATCAAAAAGGATACAAATGTGGCAATTAATATGGTCTGCCAAAAAATCTATTAACTATGAACCTAATTAAAAAAGGTGATAAAGATCAGTTCTTTCTTTTTATAATTTCTGATTTAGCAATAAACAACATTTGGACTTTTATTGTCAGGAACAAGTTCAAAACAATGCTGTTTTTCAACATTTCATTCAACGAAAATATTTACTAAAATACCCATGTATGTTTTTTGTGTACATGAAAAAAATAATGAAGTCCAATATTTCGGTTGTATAAAAAGCAAAATAATGTTGTAATGTAGATAGTAATGAATGTAGATTGTATAAAAATATTTAAATTCAACTGTACAGCTGATTTCTTAATTTGGGTATTTTAATTAGCAAATCCACAGTATCTAATTTTTTGGGAATAAAACTAATACAGTTTTCAAAAAGGCAATCACATCAAACTCAATGCTATTGATTAGAGGCGGAACAGAATTATTATTATTTTATTACTGATATGCATATAGGAATTCAAGTGTCAAGATGTACCTTCATACATACAAGAAAATAATATCTGATAATACTGTATCTCATTTACTTATGGAAGCTATTTAGAAAAATGAAAACAAACTGACTAACACCTAAGTTGTGCATTTACTAGTTAAGCAGGAGGATTTTAATAGAGAATGCGAATTGAATTAGAAAAATACACTGAATATAATGCATTAATTCTCTGAGCATTCATGGACTTTCAGGTTTTGGAAACAAAAGTTAGAACAAATCATAAACTCTATGAAAAATGGAAGCATTGATTTATTCTAATCATTACCAAAAATATATGAAAAACCAGCATTACTAACTTTGCAATATCTTTATTATTTATTTGACTTAATGCCTCACCTGCTTGATTTTCCTCTGGTTCATTCTTTAAATCTTGAAGATCCCTTGACGTGGATAGATGATTCTCTATATATTTTTTGTCATCTGCAAACTCTTCCTCCTTTTCAATTTTAACTTCCATAGCTAATAAACAAATTTAATGAAAATTGAAAAATTTATTATTTATTTTTATCACTACTAGTCTCACCTGGGTAACCATCCACTGATTCATTTTTTAAGACTTCGAGATCTACTGATGTCGATAGAGAATATTCAGGAACCTCTTTCTTATTTTCAATCTTCACTTCCATAGCTAATAAACGAATTTACAATAGCAAAAGGAAATCAACAAATTGTAAGGTGTGTTTGTATAAGCATGTGTACGGTACGAACCATATACTATATTGTACTATATTATTTATTATTTATCTATGGTACGAACAGTACGAAAACAAATAATAGTGACAATAGTGTAAATGAAATAAGACAGGTGAGTATAGCGAATTGCATGGGTCCAGCCGTGATAATGGCGACGGCGCTGTTTACGTTAGGTGGGGGTATGACGTTGATGTAAGTGCTTTGCCACAAATCACTTTAATAGTGGTCACAGCGTTACCAGACCTAGGGAATTTTCCCTATACCTAGGGAATTTTGAGCCAGCTTAGGGAAAAAGGGATTTTTATTCAATTCTATGAAAAATCTAGGGAATTCTTAATATTTAATTTAATAATAAGAATATTTTAAAAAATCAGTTTTGTTTAATAAATTTTCCAAAATTGCACATATTATATCATCTACTTGGAAATCATACTATTGTACTAAATGTGTTCACTAAATTCTGTTTATGTGACTTCCCGTCGGAAACTAGAGTGGTGAAATTTCACGACTACCTAGGCTAAAGTATGTACATTGGCGTCGCCCATCGGGCGATTTTTGGTTTCTAGTTTGTCTTTCTCTAACTGTTTATGTGATTCTCCGTCGATGACTACAGTGGTGGTATTTCACAAAGGACGAATTACGTCAGGGATCCACCTGGACTCAAATATCTTAATACTTTGATATTCTTACCCTTCTTACCATAAATACAACTATAAAACACTTGTGCAGAAGGGGCAAAAATAATTATACTAAAAACATATGTGTACGACTAGAGGAACATGCTGAACGCCAAGAACCTAGAGAACTTTTCTCAAAAGTCAAGTATCTAGCCAGAGAATTAAAACCGCAAACATAGATCATCAAAGATAATAATGGAAATATCATAAAAAACCCAGACGGCCTCGCAGAGGTGTGGAAACAATATTGCGAAATACTATTTTCTAACAACGACCGAGCCAATAATACAGAGAAAATAAGTTATAAAAAAGAACCTCAAATATTGAAATCATAAATTGAGGTTGCAATTAAAAAGCTAAAATCCAGAAAAGCATAAAGAGAAGATGGAATAATAGCTGAAACACTCAAAGAAATGGGAGAATTAGGGAAGGAAGTAATGCTTAGAATTTGCAAGGAGATTTGGAATACCGGAAAGTGGACAAATGACGGGTAAACTTGCGTTTATTCCCATATATAAAAAAAGGTTTACCGACAGCTGATTGCAGTAATTACCGCACAGCAGCATTGATATCACACGCGAGCAAAGTACTTCTAACCATCATTAATAAAAGACTAAAATTAATTCTCTTACCACAAATTTCCCAAGAACAATGCGGATTCGTCCCAGGTAGAGAAACAAAAGAACATACTCTTAATATTCGTCAAATTATCGAAAAATCTCGAGAGTGCTTTGTTGACTATTCCAAAGCCTTTGATACCATAAAATGTAATAAAATGTTTCATACACTTAGTGAAATGAGTACTGCAGAACATCTAATCTATTTATTACAAAAATTATAGGTAAATAATACCTGCTAATGTAAGAGTTAATAATGTGATTTCGAAAAACATCAAATTAAAATCTGGAGTTCGACAGGGATGCATAATATGCCCTATTCTATTCAATGTGTATAGTGGACATATGCGTCAAGTTGTTGAGGAAAGTGGCAAGGTAAGGTGAAGCAACGATAGGAGGAAGAAAAATTAAAAAACATGCGTTATGCGGATGACACTGTTATATTGGCGTCATCACGAGAAGAACTGGAACAAATTATGAATAGGCTAGGCACAGTGAGTACGGAATATAGTTTGAAAATAAATATGCAGAAAACCAAAGTAATGATCATCGATAGAATCAGAAACAACCAAGCAGAGATAAAAACATGGCAGGTTACGAAGTAATCAGGCAATTTAATTACTTAGGCTTCTTTATTACTAACAGTGGAGGATGCGAAGACGAGATCCGCCGACGCATCACAATGGCCAGATCGGCAATAGCTAAACTCTCAAAAATTTGGAAGAACACTGGCATTACAAAAAATACAAAATTACGCACCTTGTTCAAGCATTGATATTTCCTATCGCCACATATGCTTTAGGAACTTGGACAATAAAAAAAGCTGATTCAAGGCGTATAATGGCATTTGAAATGTGGGTCTACCGTAGAATGTTGCGCATACCATGGACCGCTTATCGTACAAATAACTCAATTCTAGCAGAACTTAACATAAAATTAGACTCATCACAACTATCAACCCAAATATACTGAGACATATAACTAGAAGAAGAGAAGGCATAGAGCAAATGATAGTTGAAGATAACGTAGCGGGTAAAAGATCCAGAGGAAGATCTCCAGTACGATGGTCGGACCAAATAAAAGAGATGACTGGTTATTCATTCTCCGAAGCAAAACAACACGCACAGGAAAGAGATAATTGGACAAAAATATTTAAAAAAATTACATGACGTCACTATATGCTTACGAAGGAGAAAAGATTAAGGACGATTCTTACCTAACAAATTCACGAACAACAAATAATACCAATCGCACAGAATAAATGTTCATAACCAAAAGTCCTTATTTATTCTACAAACAATTAAAATACCAATATTTCCAACTTCTTATGTGACCAATAAACTCAAATTAGAAATGTTTATAAAGGTTTTTAAAAATCCCGCTCATTCTGACGTCAGACTTAGGTGGTCCATTCTAGGGAAATTTTGGCAAAAATTCTAGAGAATTTAAAAAAAAATCATCTGGCAACCCTGACTGTCAATACTGGGTTTGTCTGTTTTTCTGTTTTTATTTAAAGGGTTTTGGTTGTGGTTGGTTTCTATGTTTAAAATAATAATATAAACTTAATTAATGCAAAAAAATGTCACAGCTGGAATTAAACTCTAGTAGTGAAAACAACATACAAGAAATCGAATTGAGAAGAGAGTTAGAACGTGAATTGAAGAATAAAAGACAATGTACATATCAACCTTATGAATGTAGCCAGTTGTGTTTGGATAATTATCAATATTGCATGAAACATATTCTTAATGATAAGAGTGCTCCATTTAAACAATGTTCATTTACATATAATACTAATGGTAAAAAATGCAATTTACCTGCTCCAAGAAGTGATAAAAAGGATTTTGGGTAAGAATAACTGAGGAATTATATGTATATTTGATTTCATATTAAAATATTCTTGTAGTTACTGTAGTGAACATGCATTGAAAGTTACTCTGACTAGGAATAGACAAAACTCGAAGCATCCTCTACCATGTACTGCTGAAGTATTGTTAAGTTCTTTGTCACATTATGTTTACAAACCAAGAAATAGAAATAGTTCATCCAGTACCCACCATTCTGATGATGATAGAGTTACTCCTGATTCTGAATTGAAGTCTGCTAAATGTTTTGATCCATTTGGTAAGTTCGATAAATTGAAAAATCAATGGAGAAATTAACAAAATGTTTCTTATACATACTTAGATAAATTTGCTTTTTCTGTTGCAAGTAGTTGTTTTATTTTTTAGTTGATATTGATGCCAGCATGGTTCAGAGTGAAAAGTGTAGCCGCATATTGGATGTTTGCAGTGAATCAGAAAGTGATATCGAGCCTTCAACATTATCTTCCATATGGCCAGACATCCAGGCTGATAGTTCTGATGACGAAAGCATTGATTCTGAAAATGAAGATCTTTTAAAGTAAGTTATGAAGAAAAACTATTTTCTTCATTTTTGTTGCTCAATATTTTTAGCTAGGTCAGAGATATGATGCAATAAAGAGAGTATTTGTTAATCACAATGATAATACAAAAGATATGAATTCTGTTAAAACAATTTCTACCAATAGTCCAAACTGTACCTTGTTTTCACGTGTTCAACCAGAAGTACTTTTTAGAAGGAATATATAAGTTAAAACGATATATTATTAAATATATCACACAAAATCGAGATTATGTTGAAATATAAATGAGAAAAATATCAAAAACTGTATTTTCTTACTTGGTGAAATTTTCTTTGTTTTAGGCATGCCAATGTGTATACAGCTGAAGAAATTACTTTACTAGCCAGAGATAAACTAATAAAGTTGCAGTCATTGTATATTGAACAATATAGATATCTACAATATTTACTAACAAAGAAAAGAAGAAAGTATTTGCATTCATTGAAACGAGAGAAAGAAACATGTTGTAAGTGACTGATTTACTACTAAAATCTAAAATTTAGTCTTAGAATTCCTTCAATTATACAATTTATTAATATCTACAACACAATTTTAATTTTAATTGAGGTTTTGTACATATTTGACATGTGTATGATGTTATATTTTTAATCAGAATGCAGACTCTCAGATGCCGACTTTGAAGTTTGTCAGCACATGATTGCTGATTGAGAAATTTGTGACAAGCTAGGACAGAACTGTAATCTAAATTTACAAGATTAATAATTTAGAACATTTGAAATAATTTAATCTATTCTTCAACTAAAAGTATGAATAAAATAGTGCATATTATGTCTGTAATTGCTGTAAGTAAATTAAACCTGGTTAATTTGTCTGTGTACCCAAAATATGATCAAAACTAGATAAAAATTTTACATAATCATCATCACATGTATTAGAATTCAAATATGTAAGAAATAAATAGAAAAATACATTTTTAAGTTTGACTTTTAGTAGGAAGCACTCAATATGACATCTTACATTAATTTGAATTGGTTCTACCCTAAATTTCGTATTTACTGCAAGCAGGAATCCACCATCCCTGGTTTTTTCATTACTCCTGTCTTTCCTATATACAGTATATTGTTGATCTACCAGTTCAGTATCCTTTATCCTCTCTGTCAGCCAACTTTCAGTTATTGCAATAAAATCATAATTTTCTACTGCAACTGCAGCAAAAAAATTGTAGCACTTCGTCCTCAATCTTCTGGCATTTTGATAATAAAACTTTAGGTTTCTGTTGGAGCTATTACCTGCTCGACTTTCTGAGAACCCATGTGAATTTGTGGCACCCTCCTCTTTTGAAAAAAATGGGACACCAATGTACGGCCTGGCCACACTTGCTCTTCCAAGGTCTTCTTCTCTTCACAGCTTACATTAGAAAAGTTGGGTTGTATATATGCCTTAAGTTGGTCAGAATAGAATGGTCAGTTTATAATTAAAATATGCATTTATTCTTTTTAGGTAATATTTATAATCAAGTGCGTGATAATCCAAAGGAACAGAGGTTGTATAAAAAATTAAAGGCGTTATATAACTATCAAAAGTGCCATGGTACTGATGCCATATTAAGTAAAAGGTTAAGAGATCTTAGAGTAAAGGTAAATATTCCAAACTTTCAAAGTTTTTTTTTTTCAAATAAAAAACATATTTTTACTCATTTTTTGATTTGTCTTCGAAAAATCTAGCTATGCTGTTATTTCAGCAAATTTCCAAACGTGTAAATTAGAAAAATTGAAAGATAATAAGGTAAACCTACCAGTTATTGACACATTTAAATGATACTTGCTGAAATCAAAATTTGTTCAGGGAGTATTTTGCAATGTTGGTAATGAAATAAACATTTAACTTGCATGGCTGCATAATATTAGACAATGGTGTGGTTCCACAGTGGAAGAATTATTTCACGCAGCTGCCGACAGAGAAAGGTTTCAGAAAATTGTAAACATGACGGCCAACATATGAATACGGACACAGCACCCAAAGAAGAAGAATTCAATCTAATTTCTTTTGCTCTCTTTAGAAAAGCTCTCTTTTCTTTTTCTTGTAAGTTTTCTGGTTTTCTCATATTATTTTTTCTTATGATAGTTTTGCCACGCTTCTGAAGTAACAACTGATGGTACTTTCTCCTTTTTCTTTTTTTTGGTTCCTCTATGAGTAGAATCTGGCCAGGGTACTGTTTAAAACAGTTTCTCCAGCACTAATTTCAGTGGTTATTAGTTTTCGGAACTACAAAACTGGTAATCAGGATCGTTTTAAGTTCCTGGTAGGTGAGTCACAAACTTCTCCAGCATTAATTTTAGCAGTTATTATTCCTTTGGGACTATAAAACTGGCAATCAGGATCCCTGGAAGTTCCTGATTGGATGAGTCACAAACTTTTCCTGTTATTTCAGCTGTTTGACTGAATATGTTTTAGGTTTAATAGATTCTGAGGATTCATTGTTCCCAGACACTAGATTTTGAGCTATATTATAAATATGTTTTTTGTTTTCTATTTGTGTTGGTATTTGTTTAAAGAACAAATATTTATTTAAATACTAGTTTTTGTCATAAATCATTCTGACTTATTAATATAAAATTCATGTTCTAGTTGGCAACTGACGGAGCTTCGAAGAGTAGTTTCTATTCGAAATGTATATTCACTGAAGGTGGAGTTAAATGTGGTGAACGGTCTTTACCTCTAGCCAAACATTGTCAAAAACATATTCTTGAGGTATGTATATAATATATATCACTGTTTTAGAAGATGATTTATCATGTATTATAGTTTTTCAAAAATCAGGAAAGATAGAAGTAGTGAGTGATGCATTAAATAAGTGGTGGATAGGTTTTACAGGACTAAAAATGCAATGCTTGAATACATAAGCTGGCAAACAATCTGGTCCAAGCGATAATTTCCAAGGCATCTTTAAAACACTATCAATTATGTCAGAGAGTGTAATATTGTAATTAATCACATAATTATGTAGCTGAGAAAAAATTACCAAACAAATTAACTATGTCTTAACCATTATCATCTGTACTATGACCATAGAAAATACTAAATGGTAGATTTTAACATTTTTGTTTGTCATTTATATATTTCCAAAAATGTCAAGGATTAGATAGAATTATATTCTCAATATTATTCAAATAGTTACTATAAGATTGAGAGATTTACATTCATTTCTTAAATGAAGAAATCTCAAGTAATCATCCCATCACATAATCATTAATATCAGAAAAACCAAATACCAAAAACCAAAAATCGCCTCAGCTGGCTTATATAATGAGAATGAACTGTCTCAAAAAACGGCTGATCTGTCCAATCATCCGAAAAGTCAGAGATTTTCGAAGGTCATCTCTTTTTTCTGGTCTTCTGTAACGCACAAGGCCGCAATCGGGAGTATCTTTCTCACAATAATACAAATAAAAGTTTTGGTTTTGTCAATGTGTTCCTATATTCAAACTCGCTATCCAAACAGCCAAAAACGAATCTTTTGAAAGATATGTCGCAAACCTTTCTCTTGACGTCAACTCTCTTTGGAAAGCCGCAAAGAAACTCAAAAAGCCGGTAGTAATGAAATCACCAATTAGGAAAAATGATGGAACCTGGGCTCGATCAGATATAGAAAAATCCAACAGATTTGCAGAACATCTATCAACTATCTTCTCCACCCCACAGGCCAACGATATTAATGACGAGAAAATTAGAGATTTTCACCCTGTCAACTATCATTACAACTAAAATACTTCTCACCAAACGAAGTCCGTAACCAAATTAACGTGCTTAACCCTCATAAAGCTCCAGGATTTGACCTTATAACTGGCGAAATCTTAAAAAAAACTCCCAAGAAAAGGTGCCGTCTTAATAACCATTATTTTTAATAGCCTCCTGAGACTATGCTATTTTCCAGTGCAATGGAAGTATGCACAAATTATAACAATAGCTAAACCTGGTAAACCTCTAACTGAAGCCAGTTCGTACAGACCAATAAGTCTCCTTCCAACTGTATCAAAAGTCTTCGAAAGGTTAATACTTGACAGAATAGAAACAATAATACCTATAGAAAACCTTATCCCAGATCATCAGTTTGGTTTTCGCTCAAATCACTCAACCATACAACAGTGCCATAGATTAGTCAACAAAATAAAAGAGAGCCTAGAAGGGAAACAAATCTGTCTATTAGCATTCCTCGATATACAGCAAGCATGAGTGTGGCACGAGGGTCTTCTGTTTAAAATAAAAACTCACCTAACTGACCAAATCTACCTCCTCCTTAAATCATACTTGTCCGACAGATACTTCCAAGTTAAATACGAAGGTGCTCTATCCAACTACCACCAAATAAAATCTGGAGTACCTCAAGGCAGTGTACTTGGCCCATTCCTTTACCAAATCTTCACTGCTGATATTCCTATTAGCGAAAATACACCAATGGCAACATTTGCGGATGACACTGGTATACTAGCATCAGATATCAATGAACTATTATTAGCATTTAACAAATTGCAAAATCATCTCAATGAACCAGAAGACTGGCTTAAATGCTGGAAAATAAATGTCAACACAAACAAGTCTTGTCAAGTAAATTTCACAAATCGAAGAATTAGATGTCCACAACTACACCTAAATAATTCAGCTATACCAATAAAAACAGAAGTAAGGTACCTGGGCCTTCATCTAGACAAAAAACTTACTTGGAAATCACATATTGCAGCCAAACGACGACACCTCGACCTAAAAGTTAAAAATATGAGCTGGCTAATCAACAGAAGATCGCAACTTTCATTAGAAAACAAACTAACCATCTATAAAACAATACTCAAACCAGTGTGGACATACGGAATTGAGCTGTGGGGCTGTAGCAAACCATGCAACACCAAAATACTGCAGACATTCCAGTCAAAAACTATTCATATGTTAGCTAAAGCCCATGGTATGTGTCAAACCAAACCCTGCATGCGGACCTCAACATCCCCTTCATCAATGATGTGATTGCTGACCACTCCAGAAGATACATGAATCACAGCGCGGACCATCCAAACCATCTCATAGACCAATTATTCAACCCGCCATTGGGTGACAGACATCTAAAAAGACTTTGGCCAGAAGACCTAGCTGCTAGGTAAATTCCAGAGAGTCGTCAATGGACGACACCTGCCACAAGTCAAGAACATACATCATATTTACTTATTACTGTATTGAAGTAGATTGTAAATTAGCAATAAATAAATAAAAAATATTCAAACTAATATCGTATCGACTTTTAGGATAACAATCAAGTTTTGTTTCGAGCTTGCGGCAAAATGACAGCTGACATTGAATGTCCCACGCCCATAGTGGCTATGGACGACGCCACTTGTCCCCTCCACATGGATGTTCCTCTGTTGAGATCTTATGGTCAAATAAGAGTAAGTAATTATTATATGCTTATAATATTATAATAGTTAACCTTCTGCTTCGCATTTTAAACCAGAGCAATTAACAAATAAAAACGGGTGTGGCAGTCCAGTGGGACTGCCGGTAGAAGTCATACTTCTATACATGTATTCGTCGTTACAAATTTATCTCGGAGTCAATCTTCACAATCATTACATATGTAATGCTATAGGTAAGAGAGAGCAGAAAGAGAAAAATAATTAGTTATATATTTATATGGTGCATAGTTTGCTGTATATAAATGTTTGACTTGTAATAGGAGTATAGTTAATGAAGTATTGTATCAATATTTTAATGAAAATATATATATTTTTATTTTCATATATGTATAAAAGGAATTGAATGCAAAAAAATTGTTTTACACATACTCTGCAGTAAAATTCACTGTTTATTTTGTTATTAATATAAAAATTACCGTACAATAATTACACTGCAACATAACTCAATATAATAATACAATATAAATTAAAATGCAATATTCATAAGTATTTAAAACTGCCAATATACATAACTTACTTTTCGAAGATAAAAATAAAAAACCAACAACTCGGATTATGTTGTAAATTTTCATTTTATTTTAAAATTTAGCACATTTGCGTATATTACATATATTTACAAAGGTTAATGTGAGGTTTTTAAATATTTCAAAAACAAAAAGGGAAATTCATATTGGGATTCGAACTCACAAACACCAGCGTATGAACTAAACACGTAAAAAATTTGCCAATTAGACATCACACTAATGGATTTCAAAACTGACAGTTCTCGGTCAAACAGTGATTATTTTGAAATATAAAAGCCTAAAATAATTATTAATGTTTAATAAATTATACAAAACATATCACATAAATAATAATATTAATACATATTATATTATATAATATTAAATATATATAAAACGAACATTTTTATTCTCGAGAGAGGAAGAGAGAGAAAATATATATTCTGTCTCTCTCTTACTCATTATCTTACATATGTAATATTTTCACAGAATCACTCTCATGCAAATTTCCAACGCCGACCGTGCGTATAGAAGTATAACTTCAAAAAGCCTATTTCGTGACATTGATACAGGTATCTAACAACTGCTTTTGGTAAACAGATGGATAGGTAGAGGTGGTTCATATAATTGGCCCCCTAGGTCACCAGGACTAACCAAGATGGATTATTTTAAGTGGGGTTATATTAAAAATATTGTATATGCTACACCTCCTACTACTAGGGGATGACATGAAATTAAGAATTACAAACGCGTTTGCTTCAATAACTCCTGCTATGTTATTATTAATTTAACGTCAGATAGTTGGTGTAAATGTTCGGCGATATTTAGATGAGATATTTCCAGGACGATAAATTGGTAGACAAGGTAGAATTGAATGGCCTCCACGTTCACCCTATCTCAATCCTAAAGAATATTTTTATTAGAGATGCTTGGAAAATTCAGTTTACAAAACTTAACCAGCCAAGTCTTGCAGAGCAAAGGCAATGCATTATCGATGAATCTCGAATAATTTCTAGACAATCATGGAAAAATGTGGTAGACACATTCTACCATTGATTAGAGTGCTGTCAACTCACAAATGGAGCACATTTTGAACACTTAATAAAGTAACTATTATGTTAAAAAATATTCTAAACTATCAATGGTTACATTTTAATGTATTTGAAAATAGTTAGTATTAAAAAATATATTGAAACAATTTAGGCGTTGCCAGACTTCTGTTTTATGTATTTAAGACCTTCCAGACTACATAAAAGCATAAGTGTTACATATAATTGAACTCGTATTGAATAAAAGATTCTAATAATGACTGAATATACAGGGTGATGCATTTGAAAAACCAAAGTTACTAGTAATATAAGAGAAACTGAAAATCTGGAATCTCCGTATCCGAAAATAGGCGTATCTCAAATTTTGTATAATTATGTCTAGTAATTTACGAGATAATTAGCCGTTTCCAGACTTTTGGGCCACTCTGTATATAGCCACAATTAAAGGTTAAAATAAATTTATTGACGTTTCAATTAACACTTCGAAAATCGTTCTCAAAATACAAACACGTTTTTCTTTTGCATATTTTGTTTATTACATATTCTTATCATTAAATTTATCAAAACGAGTTGTTAGATACCTGTATCAAAGAGTCACAGGAAAATCATTAGTTTCCTGGTCTATCTGTGCTTTTCGTGTAGTTCTAAGGAATTATATGTCTACGTTGTGTTTTTTATTTTTACAAATACTCTAACGACATTTATATATTTGAATAGAAAGATTCAGAGTCGGACGCAGACGATACAGCTGACATGAACTTCAATCAGACCACCTCACAAATGCCGGAAAACATTAAAGACGAATTTATCACCTACGAACCTCCCGAAATACCAAAAATGGAATCCCTTCCATCGATGTTGTTCGAAGAAACTCTTCAAAATGTACCGACGAAGCCGACATCTTCGAACATATTCAGTATCGACTTTTCGGCTCTGTCAGAACAAGCCAAAGAAACGAAGATCGAAGATGTGAAAATGGAAGATAGCGTTACAGAGGACAATTCTGCTACGATAACCGCCGAAAGCGAAAAAATGGATATGACGATCAGTAACGATGCAACAGAGAATTCAGTCTTGGACAATGAGAGTATGGTTGTAGAAGAAGTTGTGGAAGAGACAGTAACTTTTGACTTTCCCAAAAATATTGGTGCCGAATATGTGCAAAATAGTGGCGAATGTAAGTATCACACTTTTTACTCTTTTTGTTGAAAATTATTATTTACCCTTCCTTCACTTTCAACCTAAGATCCTTACTGCTAAGTTATGACTCCAACAAACAATTAGGATTGACAAAAATAAAACACAGCTTCAGACATGAAGGTTATGGAATATCTAGAGACAAACATTTGAAAACATCCCATATTCAAACAGTTTTTATATTGGTGGAGATATGTAGATGACGTACTGGTATGTTTCACAGGAACTAACAGGCAACTCGACCAATTTTTATCGTATATTAATTCACTTCATAGTTATATTGAATTTACAATAGAAACAGATCAAAATCAATCCATAAACTTTTTAGATTTAAAAGTTACCAGACTTAAAAACAAACATGACTTCTCCATATTTCATAAACCTACCCATATTGACACGACTATACACAATTCATCATCCCATCCCACACAACATAAACTGGCAGCCTATTATAGTATGTTACGTAGATTAACAAAAATTCCGATGTCAAAATACATTGAGACAGAGTTAAATATCATTAATCAAATAGTAAACAATGGATACAACGAACAAACAAATAATAAAATGTTGACTTGTTTTGTTGAAATGTTTACTTAAATTGTCTACTCTTGAAGAAAGGCGAATATTGCTAGATGTAGCATTTATATATAAATTAATACGAGGAGGCATTGATGCTAGTGCTCTTTTGGAAAAGGTTTGCTTCCGTACTCCCTGTAGAGACACCAGATCCCAATATTTACTTTATTTAGAATTTCATAATCGAACTTATGCTGTAAATAAACACTTACAGAGAATGCAACAGAGAAAATAAATACAAAAATATTACTTAAGGTTTTTATTTGCCAAAAAAGATTAAGATATCAATAAAACAAACAAAATATTCATTATTAAAATAAACTGTACTGAGAAAGATCAATGATAAAATATATCATGTCTTTATATCTGGCACTTTAATCTGTCAAAGGATTTGGTAACCTTACAATCACTTCTTCGTATGGTACAAATGCTGGAGGTTCTTCACTAACTATAAACCAGTTGGAAGCAACTTGCTTTTTCAAAAATTTCACGTTGTAGCCATCTACAACAACTTCTTCAATTTTGGCGGTATAATGTCGAACCGATTTGCAAATCACTATGGTCTGTTTTTAAACCAGGAGGAGCAATTCAAATTTTCCGCGCCATAATGCTTGTTTGTAATTGGTCCAAGCGCAGGCAAGTTTACTCCACTAAATTATGACATATTGACACTAGTGACATTTGTGAAATTTTAAAATTAAAAATTTATATCGACAATTTTTTGTATTTTCTGTGTTATTTCTTACATCTTTAGATTTTTCGTTTGCATTTAAATAAAAAACAGTTCTTTTCAGAACTATTTAGCGACATATTAGTGTTATTAAGATAACAATATGGATTCAATGCCAAGTACTAGTGGTAATTATTCTTCTCCACTAATCAAAATTAATTCTCCATGAATTAAAAACGCCGAGTAGATTTGGATCATTTATCATCAAATGAGAAATAATGTACTATAAACATATAAAACTATAAACAGACACGGTAGTAAAAATAAAACAGGCAGCAGGTTAGTTTTACCGAATAGTTATTATTAAAATCAAGACTTACTAAAGTAGTGTGCTAATTTTAGGTGTTGTGAATTCAACTATTGACAACAATAGAATTTAGAACAATTAAAGAATATAAGCAGACTGGAGCAGTAAAATGTCCTAAAAATATTGAAGGTCGACCTTATATTCTTGCAACATAGGATGAAAGAGTTAAAACATCTATACGACAGATAGTACACAGCTTCTTTTTAAAGAATGAAATGCTCACTTTAGGTAAAATTTTAAGTGAAATTAACAACCGCTCAGATCTTCCAAAATTTAGTCCTTCATTATTATATAAATTCTTGAAGCAAATCAATTTGAAGTAAGTACCAATATCGGTATGTAAATATGGATTAGCTACAATTATATAGTAAAATTAACTAAAACATTTTATAGATTTCATTTTTATAATCAGGTATATTATTGTTACTATTAAATATTAAGTTTTAAGTTTTTATTTGTATACTCTACTGGAATGTTGTCAAGTATTTTGGTTCAACAGATATAAGAACATGGAAAGGGAAGAAAAGAAAAAAAAGGATATTTTTACTTTACATATGCAGATTCAATGCAGCAAATATTACATAGCATAACTATAGATTGTTTATCTTACTTTATAGGATGATTGATTTATTGTGTATATTATGAATGTCTTACCATAGTTATTTTTTAGGGGAAATTATTCAAAGAATAGTTTACACATTGGGCTGCTGACCAAAAACAAAACTTTCTTGCTCAAATATCTGAAATAGATTCAGTTTTTGCTGAAAAAATTAATCAAGAAATTCAAAATGGTGTAGTTGTTCATTAATCTCACCAAGACATAAATGGAGAGATTTTGGAAGACTAATAAAATTATTAAATTTTTATTTTTACATTCATTCCGAATATATATTATGCACAGAATATTATATAAATCGATTTCTGACTCTAAGTTGTTTTTGTAATAACTTGGACTTGGTGATATGCGATAATAGTATTTAATGTGATATTTATCTAGCTGATATATATAATAAATAGAGTTTACAGTGTTTATAAATTTATAAATGTATGATATTTATATCTAATTATCATAAGAAAAACGGCAACTATCTTTTAAATTTGTGTATACTTGTTAAGAGTCATTTTCATTTTGTTTTCATCACAATAAAAGAACATTAGTAATGTTGTGTTTTACTTTGATTGTATTGATACAGGTGGTTTTGTTCTTCCTGTTGTAGATCATCACAAGAAAACTACAAAATTATACTAGAATGTAACATAATAGATTGAATTAGTTGATTATCTCACAGAAATCGAGTATTTTTTAGTAAATTTTATTTAGGTATTGATAACAAATGGGCTTGATATCAAATGGGCTAATGGGGAAATGTGGCTTTATCGCCGTATCCTAAAAATACCATGGACAGCGAAAATCACAAATATAGATGTCCTTAAAAGAATAAACCAAGAACGCCAACTTTTCGAAACCATCAAGAAAAGGAAAACGGCGTATCTAGGTCACATCATGCGAAATGAAAAATACCAGTTCCTCCAACTTATAATCGAGGGTAAAATTGAAGGCAAAGAGAGGAATGGGACGCAAGAAAATGTCCTGGCTCCGAAACATAAGGCAATGGACAGGGATTAACGACATACAATCTCTGATACATATTGCAAGAAATAGAGAGTTAATGGAAAATGTGATCGCTAACATCCATTAGTGGATTTGCATCTGAAGAAGAAGAAGAACAAATGGGACAAACTCACTGTCAAAATTAAACAAGAATCCAGCATTAAAGAAAGTGCAAGTACACACTTATTTATACAAATTTATTGTTTTGCATTTTAGTGCTTCAAATATATCCTTAAGATATTGATAAATAAGTTAAATCTATCTAATGAGGTAACTGATTACCATGCATGAAAAGTGGGACCACACCTATATTTGAACCATAATTTATTCTGTGATATGAAACATGAAAAAGTCAATTTTAAAGCAGTGAATGGGAAGGAATATGTAAAACAAACTGGCTGAAGCAATTCAGGAGATTGGATTATTAAGCTTAAAAATAATGATCAAAGTAAAAGTTAATTCTTCTGGTAAGAAAAAAAAACCTAGATTCAAGAAATTAATCACACCAGAATAAGAATATGGTCTACGCAGTTTAAAAGAACAGTATTTCAGAAATCTTTGAACTCTCTCTAACTTTTTTGATACATGCATTTGCATAGCTTTGTTGCATATAAGATCTATTTGCAAATTAAAAGACATATTTCTGAGAAAAACCATACTTAGATCTGTAAACATTATTGACTCAATGGATCAAAATATTCTCTAAATCAAGTACCATCGACTCAAAAGATCTATAAAACTGGATCACCCGTATTTACTATATCACCACATATTTAAATATATATACATGGGACCAAATGTGAAAAACGTCCTTTTTTATTGTAATATATATTGGAAGTGAATTAAAAAAAAAATTATTCAAACATAAAGTTAGGTTAGAATTGACGCGTAAGGTTGTCCGATATTCATTACTCGATTACCGCAAGGCCGAGATATACAACAAAAAAAGAAGATGTATTTGGTGACTTTTCAAGTAACTTTCTTGGGTGTGAATCTGTCTTTTTGGTTTACTCCTCCTGGTTAAAAAACAGAGTATAGTCATAACACACTTCATGTGTCTTTATCATGAGATAAATAGTTATTATATTTATAGCCATTCTTATTGAAATTATTTTTTTAGCTGAGATGAGAGCCGTTGATGCGTTACTTAAAGCAGCCGAGATGATAAACGATCAAAGCAAACTTGAGGCCAATCTTCCCACTACACAAGACTATACTGATGCCAATACAGAAAAATCTACCACGAATGAGACGGCGGAAGTTGATGGAAATACAGCTACTCACAGTACAGAAGTGTCAGAGAAGTTACCCAAATAAATTAGATGGATAAACAATTTTGTTGTTTTTAGATTTTACATTGTATTCGTTGAAATAAAAAAGTTTGAACCCTTAAAAACTATTTTTTATTTTCGTCGTTGTAGCTGGTATTTGTATATAAATCATTATCATCAGTAGTTTTTAGCTTGTTCTATGTTTTTCTGCGCCATTTTGATCTGTGTGCTTTGTTTTTTCTTCGTTTTAGCCGGGATCTGTGTATGGGTGTTTCAATACTATTGGAAATTTTCTATACTAAGCAAATTTTGTTAAATGTTGAGAATGTTTGTTGATTAAATGAAGTACTAGTAAATTAAATATCTTCTTATTTTGGCATCATACCCTGAATGGGTCTTTGTCTATCTGGCTCGTTGTTTCTCCTGATTCTCCATGTGCCGTCTTCCTCTTGAACTGAACCATATACTTTTCCTAGTATCTTTCTTTCGAATGGGGTGAGTTTGGCTTCCTCTTTTTTCGTCATTACCCAGGTTTCACAACCATTGTTACGATAATATTTTGCCTACCTTAGAGTAAGAACATGGGGGTAGAAAATTGGGGACAGAAACTAAGGGTTTTAAGATAGGTCAAGCAAAACAATCGATAATTGTGCATACGGCACTCAGGGGTTAGTTGGAGAGCTAGGTCGTGGATAAGTTGAATCAATAAAGGGGTCAAATTGGGGTAACTACAAAAATGAAGCAAAGGGATACTTACATAAATCTCTTGGAATAAAATGAACAAAATATGACAGACAAGAAATACCTCTAACTATTTCAATTTAGACATTACAACACTGTATTTTGAGAACGATTTCCGAAGTGGAAATTGAAACGTCAATAAACGTATTTTTATCTTTAATTGTGGCTTATTCCCAGTTAAATAGTAATTAATTTAAAATGCCACAAAAAAATAGCTTCAGAACAATATCGGATTTTCAATGTGCTGGTCCGCCGTAAAATATATTGTCTCGTTTTGATCATTTCCATTGTCATTTAGGTTTACCTCAAAGTATTTTTTCCGTCTCATTATAATTCCGCATTTCTTTTTGGCTTTTCCGACAGTTTCCTCTGCAAATTCCGTTATTATTGTTTTTAATTGTCTCCATTCTTCCTCTGCAATATCTTCCTATCTGATCCCGTTGAGTTTTATTTGGAGAGTATTTTGATATTCTTGTTGTGTGTTGGATTTTTGAATCCAACACACGAGGGTTTGAGGTAAGTTTATTCTTTTTATAGTATTACCGGTCGATACAATAAACAAATAGAAATTTGACAATTAATGTATTAGATTACATACATACATACTTCATCTAATTTATATACCGATGCACGTCATCGGCGTCATAGCCTGTGACGTCACATGATACCAACACAAAATATTTAGGGCGTAGGTGTGTTCTTTTTTAGAATCACTTTACCGAGTACACTGGCATTACAGCCACTAGAAATATTTTATTATATACGCGTAGAAATAATATTTAAAAATTTCTATTAATGTTATGTTAAAGAAATACACAATAATATGTTTCATTTAATTTGTATAAATGCATTATAAAGCGTTTTTATCAAGAACATTTGTTCGGAACACACTGTAACTGTATTTGAACGAAGGTAAAATTTTGGCATAAATTGGTAACACTTATTTGACAGTTCCGGTGTTGACACTTTTTGTACTTCATTATTTTGAATTTTAAAGTGAATATCTCCTGTTTTATATTTTTAACTATTTAATAAAATCTGTTCTTTTCAGAACAAAATTAGTGTGTTTTATTTCAAAAATGTCACGTAAGAATTTAAATATTTACGTTGTAAAGAGATGTTAATACTTTTGCAATAATTATGTGATCTATTTGATTTAAAATGGAGTCAGGATTTTTTTATACTTTGGCAACTATGTCAACTTCGATCTCTGACGTAGATAATGACGTAAGTCGTTATCTAAATTAGATGAAGTATAGATTAAAAACACAAATTAAAACTAATTTACAACCACAAATATATTTTTTTCTCATTTTCAATGGAAAACGGTAAATTTTTAATAATCTTAAATGTAAATTAAATTTTAAGGTGAAAATTTTCGGAACATTCGGGGTGTAGATGCACTCTACACCTTTTAAATAAATAAATAGTATTACTTTTGCACATCCAACATTCTTGCACTAGTATCGTCTCTTTTTGTAATATAGCCAATATTGTCGAATCTGGTTTCACCTGGTAAAGCAAATTTAGATTAACGTCCATGTACTAAGTTTCACACTGATGTAGCGGTTTCTTCACTATTCTCTTCTCTTTATGTTTGATTAAACGAAATCTATGTCTGCTCATGCTTTCTCTAATAATGCGCACTTCTTTATCCTCATCCTTCAACCAATACATATTAATTTGAGGCGAAGTGTGATAACCAGATAATATACACATGATACTATGACAAGAAGATAAGATATTGCGCATAAGTCGTGACGTCATTGGAGAGTTGGACGTTCGAAATGTCAGTTTTTTGTATGTATCAATAAATATAATCTTTAATAAATAGTTTGGAGATATCCTTATGTGTACGATTATTGTAATTATTAAACTTCTTAACTTATTTTCTTCTAGTAATTTCATCACAGAATGCGTACAAATCCCATTTAACTTTAATAAGAATTCAAATTCTACTCTCCAATGACGGCATGCGCGAACACGACCGATTTTGTGCTACGGGAAGATCCTATCTTGTTAGTCATAGTATTATGAATATATTGTTGTTGTTGTTTGTTTGTGTTTAAATGACTGCGGACACTAAATCCATTCGCCAATCTTACAATTTGTACTCATTTTTTCATTAGTCATTGTTTCCTATACAATCTTATACTAAATTCCTACTAATACTTATCCTACTATTACTACTATTGATCCCTAATATATAGTCAGTTTTTCCTATTAATTGTTTTTTAGTTATTTATATATAAGTATAATAACATATGCCAATAAATGTCATTCATTTTAAAATCGTGACGGTTTTTCTGCGACGTATAAATATTTATAAAATATAGAATACTCTCAATTACTTTATTAAAAAAAAAGAGTGATTAAACTTCAATATATGACTTGGCTTCATGGTTGGCTTTTATATTGCCTAAATATCAATCAGACTGATGTTGAATTAGTACTGTTTTTTTCTTTGGACGTTTATCTATCTATCTATCTATCCGAATATCATAATCAGAATCGTCAGAATTTCCATTCACTTGTATTTCATATGTACTTGCAATATCTGATTCTATTCCTTCTTCATCAATGTCTTCTACATCGGAAACTACATCTGATTCCGGCGGTACATAAAAACAAAACTAAATTAAGTCACTTTCTTTTGATTTAAAAAATTTAACAGTAAAGGAGGGTAATTTTCTATTAACTTTATGGAATTCCTTTATTCTAAAAACATAGCATCAGATTTATTAAAGTATTTATATTGAGTAAGAAATGTCTGCTTTTTAAGATAAGTACCCAAACTTTTTTCGAAGTGTTTGTACTTCCTTTATTAGCTCGTGAATATATGAGACTAACAAACAATGCATTTTTAATTTTTATATTAATCACATTAATTGTAGGTATATCTTTGATTTTTATATCAAGAACATTATTCGTTTTGTATAGAAACTGCAGACTACCGTACTATTTTTATAAATTATAACCTACCACAACATACCCCCTTAGGCCAATACTGTCATTTCCAATTTCTTTTCTGTGATTGGCTCAGTGCGCAGGTAAAAATGGTGTATCTGGCAGGTGTCGCCTTCTGGCGACGAACTAGTACAACCAATCAGTCTAAGGGGAGGTTATGTCGGGACAAGTAAATTGTATTATCCGTGGAGTGTTGTGTTTTTAATGAACAACAAAATCAATGGTAGCCGAATATGGCTGAAGAATTACTTGTGGTACTAAATCGGAGTGAGAATGCAGGCTTCGGGTTTTCTTTACTAGGGGAACCTGGTCTACCACCTATTATTTATAATATACTAGACGACTCTCCAGCGGCCGAAAGTGGTGAGGTAAGTCCGCATAGTTTTGTTGTTTATAGTATTTTTTACTAAAAAAACTTAAGTTATTCATCCGAAATGCCGTAATGTGTTAATTAATTTTAGAAGTACTTCTTCGCGATGAAATATTGCTGATTACACTTGAAATTGGGGCGGGTTAAAGAAGGATGGAAACAGTTGTGATACAAGGCAAAAAAGGCAAAGAGGAATGCAGTTTTAACCTTCTTTATATTTCCATTTGCAATACTTTTCGTTTTCAAGGATTTTAACTTGTTCTAAACTGGGTGAAATACCTACTTAAAAGGCTAATTATGTTATTAAACATAAATTATGACAAGGCAGATAGATATCTATCGTCTTTGATTCTTACGAAAATGAAAGCGTTAATCTTTACCTACTTGCTATCTATTACTTAATTCATTGCCTTTTTACCTGTTAAGCATGGACATTCCGAACATATTTTGTGTTCATTGCTTTGATTTGTGACACGTCAAGATTTTTCTGCAGATGTATACACAGCCTGAGAATTTAATCAGATTAAATGCTTATCCCCTGTTTACATGTTTGTTTATTATTATTGTTTTCGAGTTTTTAAAAAGTAATGATATAAAATATGAATTAAATAAGAGTCTTTTGATTATTTTAAGAATATTTCTATCTATTTGCGTTAAAGATATATTTTTAAAACATGAAAATTTAATGAGTGGGAATAAAAAATTAGTTTAAAAATGTACTGATTTAGAACTGATTTTTGTAGTTTTTTTTTATATAAAAAGTTTTGCCATGTATGTTTAATTTATTATTTTATTTTTTATTATTTTCAAAAAATTTAAAAGGTAGATACTTTTTTTTTACGATTTTTTTTTGGTACATAATCTTGTTTCACTTTTAATCCCAGACACATACTTTTGGTAAATTCCTTACATTTTCATAATTTCTTTTCCTTTCTCACTGGTAGTAAAATAAATTTTCTTTTAAATTATGATATAAAAATATGTCACATAATCTATAATTGTAACAAATTTTTAAACAAACAACACAAATGTGTTGTATGAGAACTCCATAAATAACTCCACATTTTTTGCATGCGTTCTTGATGAAACAAACGATATTACTGAAAGGGCACAATGTTTAATAGTATGCAGATTAGTGGATACAAAAGGCGTTGTTCAAGAATATTTCTTAGGTTTTTTGATCTAGAGGAAGACCAAAGTGCTTCAGCGTTACGTGACTTACTGTTTAGTGTAATTTGTAAATTTGCCTGTAAAGATAAATTAATTGCTCAAACCTGCGATGGAGCTAGTGTTATGTCGGGACAACTTAATGGACCTCAAAAATTAGTGAAAGATTCTGCACCATTAGCAATATTTCCCCATTGTTTCGCTCACCGCATCAGTTTTACACCAAAGTTGCTCCAACATTACAACAGTCTAAATATTATTCTCAACGCTTCTAGGTATTCCTTATATTATTTTCACCAATTGGCCAAACAGTCCTATTTTTTAAATAAAATACTTGGAAAATGAATTACCACAAATAGTGAACTAAGATGGAATTCAACTGCAAAAGTAGTATATGCTGTGTCACAAGAAAGAAAAAAATTGTTACAAGTCTTTTAGGACATAATGAATTGCCCATAATCAAATGCAAAATCAATTAGGTAGGCAGATGGTTTTGGTGGATTTGGAATTTGTATTTTTATTAAACGTTTTTAGTGATATATTTCAACAAACTGAGCTCTTATACAACATCTTGCAGAAGAAAAATAATGATGTTCAATTGTGTGCCAATTCAGTGTCCAGAAATGTTGCAGTGTTAAAGAGCTGGAAAAATCACCTTACATTTTCTAACAATTTTCAAAAAGTTTCAATAACTGGAATTGGGTAATAATAAAAGATTCACAGAATATGGCGTTAAATTTACGATGTAATTTGCTAGTTTGGCCTACCCAAAATTTTACCACACCAGCCGCCACTGCTCTGATCACGGATTATATTATAAAATTGGATGTTATCAAATAAAGAGAATCTGAAAAGTTTTGCTTTAAAATTTTAGTGCAGAATTACCTCTACATTTGAAATAGCTTAATAGTTAATATGTTTGTTTGATATATAATATGTTTGATATGTTAATAAGTTTGTAAGAGTTTTTGCACACAAACATAGTGCACACAACAATGCATTAAACACAACAGCCCTACCCAAACATTCTCTAGAAAATAACCATTCTTTTGATTTTGAAAATGTACAGATTTTGGAAAAAGAACAAAATTACAACAAAAGATGCATATTGGAGATGATTTACTTAAAATAAGATCCAAATTCTATTAATAATAAGACTGACATCAAAGATCTCCCCAATATGTATTATAATTTAATAAATTGAGTGGTTTTTTAAATACACTATGGCAGATATGAGGCGCCCAGAATAACAAAGGTTTAACTCCACAAAAGTTGAAAGTGAGATATTGAAGGTTTTGTGAAATCAGTTATAGTTAATTTTAGAAATATCACATAATGTACCGTAATTGGATTTTAATTAATATTAGATAGTTTTATAACAATGCCACAAAATATTGAAATCTTGCTTGAATACTGAGTTTAAGTTGTGTTTGAAAAAATAAAATTGGACTTGTACCATTTTTAAAATGACTGATTTTTTTTCTTATCCTAAAAATATAGAACAACTTTATTTGAATGAGGTTTAATTATTGTCATTGTTAATAATTTCTGCATTTTAAATACAGAAAGCACAGTAATACAAGGAATTATTTATTTGGAGAACTTTATATATGTATGTAAGGTAATAAGTCCAACATGTCTCTTTTTTTTGCATCAGTGAGTGCTCTTCTGGATGGATACAGAGGACCTTGCTGTATGTTGCAGAGGTTTTTCATGGGTCTACCGCATCTCTTTTTGGAAATATCCACCATGTAAAACTCCATACATTTGTTCAATGTTTCTTTAAACTATAACTGTTGCAGACGATCTAGTTGAAAACAGAGCCATTGAATTTTTAACCAATTGAGTTTATAACTGCAGATAATTTTCTTTCTGTTTGTTACTTTGTTTTCCAACATTTCTGTGCTTAAAAGTTCTTTTCGCTGCATTTCAGTGACGACAAAGTGAGGTTACTTGCTTTTAGCATTTTGTATAATTTGTATCCATTCCTGAGGGTTGTAAATAAGAGAATGTTTTGTGCTAGTACTCTATGATACCGAATTCTCCATCATTCAGCAAGTAGGAGTGACCAGAAACTAGGAACTTCAAATCTATTATTTTAGCTCTTACATCTGGATCTTGTACAAGTTTTAATAACGATAGGCTTGTGTTAATGTTACGATTTTGACCCTTACACGAATCAGAATACGCAATTACATGCTCATAAGAAGAACCTTCTTGCTTTAGATCTTTGACTAAACATGATGCTAATCCATGACCACCTTCAGTTTCATCCCATACATACATGTATCCTGTTTTTTTCTTCATGCAATGTATGCCAAAATTGTATCATCATCATCATCATCAGTGGCGTTACAGCTCTTTATGAGCCAAAGCCTTCTTCAGAACAATCCTTCATTCGCCCCTGTCTCTGGCAACTCTTCTCCATGCTCTAATTCCGATAGACTTCAAATCCGATGGTTCAGAAACTTGGACACTAACACAGAATGACCAAGAATTGCTCAAACATTTTGAGCGAAAAATACTAAGACGAATATATGGAGGCATAAAAGAACAAGGTTTGTGGCGCAGGTGTTACAATTTTGAGTTGTATAGAAGATTTGGAGAACCTGACGTTGTAAAATGCCAAAATTGTATATTATGTACAAATTCCTCTTATAATAGGCTACTGAATTAGTTAATTTTGGATAGGGTAGCGCTTTCTGTAAGTCAAATGTAATCACATAGGCTTCATCTATTTTCTTTGAATCATTCTTTAAACTCTCTCTGGCAGCATCTGCTTTCCTTTGATGTAGATCTTTCTGTAGTAGTAATCCTTTCTTGAGTTGTTCTTCTCGTGTGGATTTGATTTTAAGTTCAAAATCATCACATAACTTGCAGGTATCTCGTAGGGGTGGTTTGAAGTGCAAGTTAAATTTACTGTTGAAGATGTGGTAGTAGTACTTTAATTTCTTTGGTTCCCTATTCTCTGTGGCACATTTTTCTTTATAGAGATCGTATATCTTTTTTGCTGTAAGATTGCTGTTTAAATATTTTCGATGAGGGTTTTTCAATCTCGAATAGTGACCCTGATATCCAGGAAACATACCGATGTGTTCTATGATGTCTAAGTCGTCTAGTTGTCTCAAACTTATACCACCACGCCGTTCTTTACATTCATATGCTACAGCTTTTTAGATATGCATCTATATAAGCGTCCGTTACTTATTTTAAACATAGCAAGGAACTATTTCTTGCATACCTTCTGTGTTTTCGTATCATATTTCCATAAGTAGTGAAATAAGTGAAATGTTTGTTAACACCAGAGTCATCTTTTGGACGTCTACAGTTTACAGCACTCGATTTTACCAGGCCATAGAGATATAGATTCTGTTCAACATAATTTCTAAGTTTCCAAAACTCCTCAAATATTGTTTTTCTCAGTTTTTGTAAACAAAGTTGAACACTTTTTGGTACAACCACAATCTGGGTTATCAAACTGCTTTTCGGGTACTCTTATTCCATTGTTGGCAAAATACTCTTTCCCACTATTTCTACTTTTCTTTCTTTGCAGCAGCTGGTTCATTTTCAATTACTACTGCTTCCCCCTACACAGTCCCCGGAATGTCATCTTAGGCACTCAGTTGATGGTGTTGGTTGCGGTTCTAGACCAGGAGTGATGGAAATCAGATTTGCAGGGAGTTCCATCAGCAGTTGTTCATTACTAAGGCTCTCATCACAGTCTAAAACAATAACACAATGTTTTAGTGCAATTAAAAATAAAAATATCATAAATATGTTATTTAAACAATTGAGACCTAAACTACACAAAGATAAACTTAATTTGGTACT